GCCTTAATGCTCAATTCAAATTTCTTTCCCAGATCTGATTTTTTTTGTTTGACAGTTCAGATTGTTGCTTAATTGTGGTCCATATCAGACTCCAGCGTGAACTAGTGTTGTTTACTCGAGACCGGTCTTCAGACCACTTCTTGTCTCGGTCATTGAGGACTCGAGATTTAATTTCAAGACCAGTCAAGACCATAACTTTGGGAACATCAATAAATTGCTTTTACATCCTCTCTTTGATTGGATGGAAAACTTATTGCTTCAGATGAAACCAACAACCCTAAATAAAAATGTGTTGTTCCCGTTAACGACTGCCCCCCCTCCCCGCGATGGTAAACATGGATAAGGAGAGTTGAATAAAGATGCTTACGTTGATTTCAGCTCTTAGTGTTTGTATGTGGGTGTTTTAATGGGAATCTGGATCTTTCAGATCAGTTTGAGAAGCACCTGTGATCTCGTTCCACATTTTATTGTGTGTCATGTAATGTGGGGAACTGGTCTTGGTCTCGTCTTGGTCTCGGTTTGGGCGGCCTTAACTACAACACTAGTGTAAACTGTCCGCGGCCTGAAAGTGACCCGCGTGCGCAGCAGCAGCTGTTGTACAGAAGTGAACAGAGCCACAGAGGTTAGCTCCAGTTAGCTCCTACTTGCTCCAAATTTGCACGGGAGACTCCCGTTTCTCATTTGTCCTCTCACGGGTCACATTTCTCCCCAACAAGTAGCATAAACGGTCCGGTGGATTTCAGGTGTAAGAAAGGGAATCTGTGAGCAGATGTAGAGAAGAAAGAGAGCCACATGTTCAATTATGGCTTTTTGTGGAGCTGTGACAGCAGCTGCTCTAGAGTGACGTCAAAGTCGCATCAAATGCGACCCGAGTGTCCGATCTGTATGTACCACATATGGAAGTGGCCCAAATCCGAACTGGAAAAGATCAGATTCCATGTTCACACTGTCATAAAAATTAGATTTGGGTCACTTTTGGCCTGAAGTCTGAACGCAGCCTTAGAAACCGGTTTGTCCTCTGCGACTTCATTAAATGTGATTCTTCGCACCTGCTTGTATAAAATGTAATTATTTCAGTCTATCATGTCTGAGGTGCAGGTAGGCTGGGTGCTCTGACCGGTCAGTGAACGCAGCACGTCTTCTTCCTCGTCATTATCGTTTCTGCTCTCGACCTTCAGCTCCTGCAGCCCGTTCAGACCGCAGCTCCCCGCAGAAACTGCCGCCACGCTGCCGCCATCGAGCGACTCGTCTGGTTTCTGTAACGACAAACAGCAGTGAGGTTAGTTCAGCTTTGACAGTAGTGAACCTGTTCTTGAACTTAGAACATACTCATTAAAAGGTGAGGTACGCAATTCTGAAGAAAGACTGCAGGTATCGGCCGGTATCAGGCAGTGGGAACTCAGGGAACGGCGAACAGGATCAAAACATTAGTTATCTCTCGCCATTCCCTACCCTACATGTTTTTTTCAAAATAAGGTCCCATGGGGAGGACGGGCGGGGGGGTGGGGGGGGGGGGGGGGGGGTGGGCGCTAGACTCTATTTATGAGGCAGCAGGTGAACATTGCGTCCTCAGAGTTGATGTGTTAGAAGCAGGAAAAATGGGCAGCGTGAGGATTTGATCGACTTTGACAAGGACCAAAGTGGGATGGCTAGACGACTGGGTCAGGGCATCTCCAACCCGGTCTGCAGGGGTCAGAAGTGGTCCAACCGACAACGGGGTCATGGACGGCCAAGGCTCACTGATGCACGTGAAGAGCGAAGGCTGGCCTGTGTAGTCCGATCCAACGGAACAGCTACTGTAGGTCAAACAGCTGAAACAGTTGAGTCCATTCCTCCGGCAGGCAGGTGGTCATAATGTTATGGCTGGTCGGTGCAGCTGCAGATTCATTTCCTGCTGATCGCTTAATCAACTAATCTCTTGAGCTTTCTTGGTGGAGCTGCTCGTGCTGCTGCAGCTTCTCGGGCGGTGGAGAAACCTTTGCTGCACAGGAAGCAGCGATGATGCGTTTCCTCCGGAGGTTTAAGGCTGCATTCAGAGCGCAGACCAAACCTTTCCACACACGTCACATGGACTCTGATCATTTCCTGCTTAGATTTGAGCCACTGTCGTAGAAATCAGATACATGTCGGATTTTAAAAGATGCTACCTCAGTCTGGTTAGTCAGATTGCAGGTCACGTGACTCTGTAGTCACTCGACCGCCGTCATAATACCAGCGTGCGGGAGCAGCGATGAACGCAAACGTGGAGGACGGCAGTAACGGAGGAAATCAGTGGACAAATTTTCTCATCTGCTCTCCAAGTCCCTTTCATCCACCTGAAATCAACTTAAAAATTAAACTGTAGTCGCTAACCTCTGTGGCCTCCGTGTTTCCTTCTGTACAACAGCGTGCCGTCATGTGACGATCGTATTATTTCCAGTTCACCCTGGAGTGTGATAAGGGCCACATTTAAAAAATAATGTTTACAGTCAATCAAAATAATTTGGCTCTGGAGCGCTAGCTTAGCTTTAAAAGACTTTAGCAGGTGCGGCAGAGGCTGAAAAGGGAACGTGAATGATTCGCAGGGAGGATGTAAATCTGTGGAGCGACTGGACGCAGGCAGAGCTCGCCAGGGTTCAAGTAAGGGTCACCTCTGCACAGCTGACCAATCCCATCGTACGCTGGTGTGAATGTTGGCACGTTGGATTCAGAAAGTTTTGGAAATGGACGCACACAGCCCCTGTGGATGTTGTCACCCGTTAGTAGCCGGTTCAGTGGTAGAAGTACAACAAGCTGTCCAGTGACAAACAAGTCAAAGAGCTGCAAAGACTAATCCAAGAGAGAAAAGGCAAATTTCTTAAATGTAAATATTTCCTGGTTTGTTTCCTCCTTTGTGACAGTAAACTGAACATCTTTGGGACATTTGAGGACATCATCCTGGGCTCTGGGAAACACTGAACTAACGGAGAAAATAATCAACAGATTAACTCTGACAACAAAAGGAGTCATTAGTTGCAGCGCTACGACTGGATTTAGTGTTTCCGCCCACTCACCTTGCTGGCTGCAGCTTGGAGCACATCGCTGTCCTCTGTGTGTTTCTGCAGGTGTTTCCTCAGCAGGCCGGGCCGGTTGAAGCTCTTGCCGCACAACGAGCAGGGGTGAGGCTTCTGTCCCGTGTGGAGCCTAACGTGGTCCCTGAAAGACGACGGCGTGGAGAAAACCTTCTCGCAGACCGAGCAGGAGTGCAGGTTCTCCACTGCGTGGCTTTTCTTGTGATCGACGAGGCCCGTCCTGGAGGCGAAGCGTTTGGGGCACAGCGGGCAGGAGAACGGCCTCTCTCCGGTGTGCGTCCGCTCATGCTGTACGAGATGGCGCCGCTGAATGAAGCCGCGGCCGCACACCGAGCATTGGTGGGGCTTCTCTGCAGCGTGTCCGAGCCGGTGCCGCCGCAGGCAGCCCGGCTGGGAATAGCTGACCCCGCAGTCTGGGCACGAGTACGGCTTCTCGCCGGTGTGTACTCTCTGGTGAATCGCCAGATTCTTCTTCTTGGCGAAGCGCTTCCCGCATAACAAGCAGCTGTGAGGTTTCTCGCCAGAGTGCACGACCATGTGTTCCGCCAGCCGAGACGGACGAGAGAACTCCCTGCCGCATAATGAGCAGCGGTGACGGCATTTTGACCGACGGCTGCCTTGTTTTGACGCAGGTTTTTCTGGTGTCTCGATGTTGGAGGCCTCTCCTGTAGGAAAGGATACTGACGTTAATATTCATAAGGTTCAAGAATTATCCATTTATCAGGAATATTTTATTTAACCAGGCAGAAGCCCATTAGAATGTAATCTATTAGTAATAAGGGGGACAACTGGCAGGCAGCAAAACAGCATTTAGAAGTTACACTGACACACAAATAACAACACACGGAGACACTTAAATGATAAAATCCACCTACCAGCAGCTTTAACGCTCCCTGGTTGACTCGTTATAGCTCATTTGTTTAATCTGTACAGAAAACTAAGCCTCTACTGCTTCGACCTGTTGTTTACCTGTTTTAGTGTGAACAGGGATCTTTACAAAAAGGGATTTTTTTCACATGTTAACAGTAAAAAGAGAGAGAAAATAAAAAAAAAAGGTGTTCTGTTGATTTATGCTACCAATGGAGATGTGCTACTGAGCGGTTCTGGGCATGTGCATGAGCCACAATCTTGATCTCCGTCTCCACACCCATAAATCTATGAAACCTTGCTGTCGGGCAGTCTGTCGAGACTGTGGCTGAAATTAGATGAATCTGGCGTGTAGTAATAATTCACCAGAGCAAAGAACTTTTTTCTCCTTTATTTACAACGTTTAAATAAATAGAATTAACACATTTTTCGGTTTTTGGGGTATTAATAATAGATATGTTCCAGCAGAGTGTCAAAATATGTTTCACATATTCTTCTGCGGCTTTCAGACCAAACTTTCAAACAAATTTTCGCCTTGCGCCGCTTTCCTCGCGTGAGTACATTCGCTGTAAGTGTTACACACACACACACACACACACACACACAACACAATGTGATAACGTGGATAAACACGACTCGCCATTACTACAGCTGTATGAACCCAAAGTAAACATTTTGCTGTGATTTATTAGCAATAAACGGATCAAACTAATGCCGAAATAACTACTACATGATGCAGATTTGTTAAACATATGAATTCATGCTTTGTCAGGTCTGTCAGCAGGACAACAGCTTCTAAAATGTTTGTTTTCTGAAGGGAGTTCGGATCGATCAGGGCTATGCTATGCTAACTTGTTCACAGTAAAGACCAACGACAGCTGGAATAAAGTTACAGACATGTTTTCTGAACTCACCAGGTAGTTCAACCTCCTCGCTTTCTTTTCTCCAAGCAATGTCCAGTTTTGTCTGGTTTTTACACAGGGAGTGAGACGTGGTGTAATTTAAAATGATTCAGCAGTGGGAGCATCTGCTATGGTAGCATAAATTGTCAGAACACCGGCTTCGTGTGGAGAAAGAAACAACTGCTGACCTTCAGCAGGAAGCTGCTGACCGTCCTCTCCGCTTTGTTCTTCTTCCTCCGTCACTCCATTCATCTCCTCATGCTCTGCTCCTCCCGAAGATGGACGGGTCTCCTCAAGGCCTCTGAAAATAAGAGAGGGACACGTCCTGGTCAGGGCTGTGAGGACACTGAGGTTGTGTCCTTGGTTTGGTTCTGGGAATTTGGAGGTTTAAGTGATGCGTGAACAATTATAAAAGGTTAGTTCCAGTTCACCTCCCAGAACGTGGTCTTTGACCGTGTGGTTGAGGTCAGGGCTCTGTGCAGGAAACTTAGAAAACGCTTTCAACATCTTCTTAAGGAAGCTCAGTAGTTTCAATGTTCCACACTTTATGTATCGTTGTTAGTCTTAAATATTCTTTATGCTCTGTTGGTTTGGTAATCTCAGTGTGAAAAACTGTGTGCCTTAAACTTACTGGTGGAAACTGAAATGACTGTTATTATTGGACTCGTAGCACCCATGATGCAGTGAGTTAAAGTTGTGTTACCGTCCTATGATAAGTGGGTAAGCTGTTGGCAGTGGCGGGTGACATCGTCGGGCAATCCGCCAATTTGGCAGACAGGAAAAACACGCAACAGAAAGACACATGTGGCAAGGTTAGTGTATTGTGGCAGCGTTTCAAACCAAACTCACCAGTCCTGGGTGACAGCCAGCGCAGCACCGGCCAGACTACGGGAGATAAGTCCGGTGTTGTCGGACAATCAATAAGCTTGTCCAACAGACACAAGAGCCGTCACTTGGTTTTATTTTCGATAGCAAACTTTTGTCTGACTGAAACTGAGTATGTTTGTTTGAGATCTGGACTCATGTGGAGAGTTAACTGAGATAAGGACTCATTCGCTGGTGGTTGAACTTTGGGCCTTGTACTGAGCACTGACTTTAACACTCTGTGGTTTCTTGTCTTCTGTAGGTTTATATGATAGCTTAATATTTCATGCCATGACTTGACTCTCAAATTGTCCATCTCTGTGAAATAAGTAGGCTAATAAAACTACTACTCAGAAAGCAACCCATTTTACTGTGTCCCTGCAGTAATCTGCTTCCCTCTCATCATGTCTGACATAAAGTAATTATAATGATCTTGCATATTCAATGGAAATACCTGGTTGTTAAGGTGGAGTGATTTTCTTGTACTGAAAGACATCTCTCCTTCTGTGCATTAAATCATGCAGGTAATGTTTTTGTGTAGATATACTGAACATCTAATTGACATTATCTACATTAAATGAAGCCTAAATATTCAGCGTATACGTTTAAAGAGTGGCAGACAAAAAGTGATGAAAGTTATTTTGGACCTTGCAGATGCAGGTCTGCTGACTTCTGGACCATGACCACTTCCTAGATATTGAGCAACCTTCATCCACTGAAGAAGGCCACTGGATGTGGCTGTAAAAGCTCTGGAAAGGCCAAGTGGGCCTTGCAATAACATTATTCTTCAACATGACACAAAGAGTTTTATCCCAAATATGCTGGAGCACCAACATGTCCTTTTATTGGAAGTAAGGACTAAAGTATCTGCACAAGGCTGTCCACTTCACCGGCTATGTAATGCATCCAGAACATAGGATGGAAGATTTTACAGTTTTTGATGAAGACTGGCAAAGTTAAGTGTTTGCAAAGCAACAAAGCAGCTGTTAATTATAGTTACTTAAGACTCCAGCTGATGTTTAGCGGTTTATCACTGTGTTCTCACAGCTGTGTTATTATTCCGACTCCCACTGCATTATTATGTATTAACAATCCCATTAACAATTAATTCAATCATCACATATTGTTAAAATGTATTTCAAAGTTAGCTGCTAACGTTACGTTTGTTTGCGATGTGTTAATCGATGTGTTTTTACAGCGATTCAGCCAATCAGAGGCGAGCACCGTGCAACATTAGCCGTTAGAAGCTAGCGTTAGTAGTTAAGCTATCTTGCTAATCGTAAACTAAACAGTTACCGTTCACAGAAACACAGAAACACGTACCGTTTACTGCAGGTCTGTGTAAAGGGACGGGAACGCAAACCAAGGCGCCAAAAGGGTCCAAAGAACGGACTCCTTCAGAATGAAAACCCTCCAGGAGCAGGCGGCCGCTGACTTTGGCTTATCGCGATGTTAGCTGTGCTCGTTAGCTGCGGGCGTTAAACGACGTTCCCACAGTCCTGGACGGCTGCGCCCGCGAAACACCCGCTGCTGCCGACTAACGCTAATTAAGCTGTTATTTATAATCAGAGATGAAAATATTAACACAGCGGAGGAAACACGAACTCCCTATCGGCCCTTCAGGAGAATTCAAGTCGATGTCAGGAGAAAGTAAAATAAGATAAACACAGTTTATTTCGACAAGAAGCAGGCGAATTCCAGCTAAAATCAAACATGGCGCTCAGCAGCTCCTCGGTGCTGCCGCCGCTGGCCGGGAGGTGAACTGCAACAACATGGAAGTGACTGCCTGTAGTTTCTAAAGATGTCAGGAGCTGACAACATACTGAGGTCTTTGTTTAAGAGCTACACCGATTTTTAAAAGTCTACAGAGGTTTCATCACTTGAATTACTTTCTAGAGGCCGTGGACCTATTTTGTTATTGGGCAACTGCACTGACACTGTCTTTGTGTCTTTGTGTCACCATAATCAGAACACTCGTCAGGAGCAGTTAGGGTGACCAGACGTCCCGGGGACAGTTTTGGTGGCCTGTGTGTTAGTCATAGACTGTATAAGGTATTAACAGACCTGAAATCAGATTTCAGCATGTCTCTGTTTACGTCTACAGCTGCTTTTATCTGGATTAAACAGACATAACGTGCAAATAAAAATCACTTTATGTCGCAAAGGTTTGTCTTTGTGATACTTTAACGGTTCTTTTAACAGAATAATCACAATCGTGGCCAAACAAGTGTTTGCATTTTATAGCCTAACCAGGCCGGACATTTACGTTATTATAGGCAATAACAGAAGCCTGTTGTTGCAGATGGATGATGTGTTTGGTGGGCTTATGTCTAATATCCTAGTTTATATTTAGAAAACGGAATGTAGCCTATAATTAACATGACTTACTGCTGAGTTATATATAAAATAAAGATCTCTTTTGCGATTATCCTTATGACTCTGCTTTATTTAACTTGCTGTGTACCAACCAATCCAGTCTTTTTTACCTGTTAAAATACCTTTAAATGGCCAAAACAACACATAAAATGCATTATTCTACTTGCCATAAAGTGATCGAAGCCTCTAATTATTGTCTGAAATGTAATTTCCTCCCTGAAATGACTTGATTATATTCATGAGGGTTATATTTGATAGATTATAACTCACCTAGAAATTTTTGTCTCTTAAAATACCTTTAAATGGCCAAAACAAGACATAAAATGCAGCATTCTACTTGCCAGAAAGAGACTGAAGCCTCTACTTATTGACTGAAAGCTAGATTCTGTCTCAAAATCACTTTCAGAAGAGTTATGTTTGACAGATTATGAAGCCCGAAATTGTCCCGTTTTTTAATTTCATATGTAATAACATTATATTTCTTTAATGCATACTGACCACCGAATTTGTTGTGGGTCTCTGAAAATGTGACCAAAATCTACTCAAATGATCAATTTTGGTGATGTACAAAGTTGTGTCAACCAAATTTGTTTTGTGACGTTGACTTTGTTTGAGTGATTATGAGTGACTACAGCTGGTGACTTCCTTCTCTGAGCCCTTTAAAATACGCATTTGTTTGATTCACTCATTAAACTCAGCCCCAAATGCTATGATGGGAAAGTCCTGATCGATCCGAACTCCATTCAGAAAACAAACATTTTAGAAGTTGTTGTCCTGCTGACAGACCTGACAAAGCATGAATTCATATGTTTAACAAATCTGCATCATGTAGTAGTTATTTCGGCATCAGTTTGATCCGTTTATTGCTTTTAATCACAGCAAAATGTTTACTTTGGGTTCATACAGCTGTAGTAATGGCGAGTTATCGCGTTGTGTGTGAACAGCAGTTGTCCAGCGGTAAAACCCCCGCGAGGAAAGCGTTGCGTGGATTACATTTGCGTTTGGTCTGGCTCGACTGAAGTTTGCTGTTGATCACAAGGACAAAGAAAAGGCCTTCTGGAGGAAAGTTCTGTGGTCAGGTACTTTCAAATTCATCAGGAAAACTGGGTCATGGACACAGCTGGGTGTTGCAACAGGACAATGACCCCAAACACAAATCAAAAGTGGTAAAGGGATGGCTAACTCAGCTGGAATTAAGGTTTTAGAATGGCCTTCCCGAGTTCCTGACTTAAACCCCACCGAGAACATCTGGACGAAACGTGTCTGTGTCAGAAAGCCAACACATTTAGCTGAACTGCAAGAAACCTGTCAAGAGGAGTGTCGAAGATTCAACCAGAAGCTTGTGGATAGCTGCCGAAACTCACCGTCTAATTGGGGTGAAAATGGCCAAGGGACCTTTAACAAAATGTTAACATAGCTGTATGGAATTTTTTGGTACATTTTCAGAAGAGCCATAATAAATTCATAAAAGAACCAACATTCACGACCGTTTGTTTTTGGGCTCCAATGATTTCACCATAGGAAAATAAGAGTTAAAGGCCATCACGTACATGTTCTTTACATGTGTGTCCCCCAAACACTTTGGGACACACAAGCACCTGATTTATAGGTTATATTGTTACATATTTCTCTATTTTATATTGATCTCCACTTCTGTATCTTACTGCATGTATTTATTGTATTATTTTAATGGTGTGTGTGTGTGTATGATATTGTTAATCAGGCTGTGTGGCTCCTTGCTGACTGTTAAACACAAACAAACAACGGCAGCCGTAACAGATATTTATTTTAAAGCCTAACCAGGGACAGGGTTTGCAAAGTGGTTGTGGCTAGAAAACCTGTACGCATACCCCGTACACTTTGTGAAGCAATGTTTCACGGATTTTTCCCCGTCAAATAAACATGAAAATAATGAAACTCTGGGGTCTGACGTAAAGAGACTCCACGCTGGCCGTTCTACCTGTTGTTCTCTAAACAGCCTACACTGAGATATATAGTCCCATTTAGAGCGCAGGGTGAGCCAATCCGCTGTATCCAAAACATACGTTTACAAAACAGCCTTTTATTAATTTTAGTGCTTCCTTCCAACCCGATCTCGTCCTATATGTCCATTTTATCTGCATCACTGCTGCAGAAATTGGATTTCCTTTAACCTTATGTCATTTTATGCAGCGTGATTTAACTTGAAATATTTTTAATGTGTATTTCAACCTGGAAAGCACTCTGTTTTGATAAGTGCTGTATAAATAAAGCCGTTATTATTATTATTATAATGTTGCTTTGAAAAACCTGCACAAAAGTGAGACGGTTAATGAGCACGCCGTCACGATCACAAGTCACACATGGGTGGACTGTTCAGGTGTCTCCATACTTTTGGCCGTGTTGTGTATCTGACTTCACAGTTGAGGCAGTCACCCGCACGATGGCGTGATTAAGAGAACATGTATTTATTAAACAACTGACAGACACACGCTTCCATCCCACACCAGCGTCCTCCTCTCAGTCTACTGTTTCTTCTTCACCACGTGGGCACAGTCATATTTGCCTCTGACCACTTTGAGTTTGACTCCGGGCAGGTCCTGCGTCCTCCCGCCCTCCACCAGCACCACGTTGTGCTCCTGCAGGTTGTGTCCCTCCCCGGGGATGAACACCACCGCCTCCTTCCCGTTGGACAGCCGCACTCGAGCGCACTTCCTGTTGGCGGAGTTGGGCTTCTTGGGCTTTCGGATCATGGTCTTCAGGATCACCGCCTTCAGCTGGGGGCGGCCGAACGTGGCGCCGACAGATTTAGGAGGCGGCTTGGGCTTCCCCTGGCGGTGCATCTGGTTGAGGGTGGCCATCGTCCTGGAGAGGATGGGAGCCGTCCAGGCAGAGGCATGCTGGGATGCTGCAGAGAGGGAAAAGTTATTTACACGTTAAACATTTTTAAAAAAGCAAGATTTTAATATAATCGTCACTTGTTTACTTTTTTAAATATCGCAGTAAAGGTTATTCTGGAGTCCAGACTCTGTGGCTGCTTTATAGCCGTATCGCCATCAGATGGTTAAAAGTGTGCAGGCGTGTAAACGTACCTTGAAGAAGCGACGTCAGCGCCGGCCTCAGGCTCCATAACAAAGACATTCCTGAAACAAGCCAGAGGAGAGGAAACCTTTTATCACCTCCTGTTCTGATGTCTGAAGTCAGACGTGTGACAGAGAACCTCTCAGCAACCGGTCCATTATTTCCTAAACTGACTCTGAAACCGCAAAAGACAACAAACAGCAAAGTCACCAGAGAGTTTCTAAGAGTTTGGAACAAAGTGTTGTCAAAATGCCTGAAATTAACGAAGGCACCATGAAATCAATGATTTGCCTTTTCCAGTTCTGCACCAAAGCACTGAAATTAAGATCATCTTTACTGTCACATGTCCCCCAAAATACACTCAGCTCAGCTGCGATTCATCCTGTTTACCACCAAACTCTCTTGAAAACCTGCAGAAATTTACCCTACTGTACCCAAGTGTACACATGCTGGTAGAAAATAACTAAAGAATTAAAACCAAGGTCCTCCAGGTCAGTTCGGCAGGATAATCCGACCCAGCGCGCGATTAAAATTGGTTCCTTCAATCCATTAGGACCGGTTCCCGTCTGCAGCCTACATCGAGCGTCCTCACATGGAGGTAATTAGAGCAAAAAGAGTAAATCTTAAAACTTGATTTCAGATGTTCTGGGTGAGACTCGTGCATGCCGAAGTAAAACGTGACCCCTGATGATTTTTATAACACCCGGAAACGCCTCTGCGGCTTCACGATGATCAAGGAGCTCTTAAATCCCTGCTTTATTGAATGGAGTCTGGTGCAAAATAACTGACTCTCTAGTGAGAATTGAGCCCAACGGCGAAGCTGCAAGCTGCACGAGGCTGTTACTGCATTTATAGAGAAGGACATCAGCTGACTGCTAACTTATGTTTGTCCTCAGGGTCACACACAGCACGGCTGACGTTGGCTACAGTTAGCTGACCGACAGAGGTTATCCGCGCTACATAGAGACACACCGCCGGAAGGTGATCGCAGAATATCCGGTTCGATAACGGGATTAATAAGAAGTGAAGTTAAAGATATTTAACGCATTTTTTAAATTTAAATACCAACCAAGGACTTTCACGTTTTAACGTGAGCAACATGAACTCCTGCGCACCGGAAGTAATTCCGTTACACAAACAAAAGCGCTTCCGGATATCGTTCCCAACAAAATAAGAGGTTTAGTGAAATGTGCTGTTTGCACATTTTTAATATTTAAAGACGTTTTTATGGTTTTACTTGAAAAAAAAAACAGGTTGATCTCGTCAACAAAACGATTCTACTGCAAACACTTAAACAGATGTAAATGAAACCCCCCTCTTGTCCAAAACATTTAAAAAATAATTCCCTTTTTTTCCTTCATAAAAATAATATAATGAATGAAGTCATTCTATAGAAATGTATTTTCACTTCTTCCACAGTATTATATTTGTATTTATTTCTTACAACAATAAATATATTAGATTTTCTCTGTAGTTTTGGATGCAGATGTTGGCAGGTGTCATGGAAAACAAAAAGCTAATCTGTGCGCCTACATTAATTATTGGTGCCCTAAAATTTAACACTGTAAATGTCAACACATCCATGTTACTCAGTTATATTATAATCTGCTAAAATCTGTACCCGTTTGTCCTTTTATTAAAACAAAATGCTGATTCCTTAAACATTTGTTTAAGATTGACTTTCTTTACATCCTCTCCTCAGATTCTTCCTCCTCCTCATTAGTGTAAAGCAGGATGTTGCTGCTGTAGTAGTTGAGCTGCAGCTTCTGAACTGTTCAGTTTCAGACTGCAGCTGATGATTCTTTTCATTCTGGATCGGGTTTTCTGCCCCTCGTTTCCGCTCATTGACCTGCATTTGATGGTTTTCCATCAGCTGTCCTTCAAACTGGTGTAATCAGTTTGATTAGTCATAGTTTATTATCGTGATCACATCACGCTCAGATAAACCGGCAGGAGTTCAACTAAAGTTGTAAATTCACAAATACTTGACGGGGATAAAACAACAGTTTAATTTTTTTATTTTAAATATAAACTACTTCAGTGTTTCCAAATGTTTGCTGAACTTTTTGAAAAAGATATCATGTTATGTTATTATTATATTATATACACATATGTTGTTGGTTGATATTTTTAAAAGCAAACTAAAGACCTAACTAAAACAGGATTTAGTTGAATTTTATATCTTTATTTATCTATGTACGGACATTTTAGTCTGTTTAACTGATGCATTTGATGTGTTTTATTATATTTTATTCTATGGCCCCCTTATTTTTATTATCTTATTATTTTTTTATTATTTTATTGTTATTATTGATCTTTATTATACTTTTCTTTAAATACCTCCAGTGCCCCCCCCCCCTTCAAATAATACAAACGTCTTTGCACATGTAAATATCACTTCATTTCATATCATGCACAAACCTTTGCACATTGTTTTTTTTGCACATTTTGTTAATCGTTATTCTTCCATATTTTATATCAATTTATTTAAATACAACATCCTCTTCTGCTGCAACACGTGTGCACAACACAAACCCGAGTAATGAACATGTAAATATCTGCCATGTTGTCTCCGCCCGCACGTAGTTGTATAAGCTGTATTATTCTCTATTCTTTTATTATTTGAATATTCTTATATAACTAGCATTTGTTTATTCCATATTTATATATTTCTACATTATTTATGTCATCTGTATATCTGTCTGCTTCTAGCACCTTAACACCAAGGCAAATTACTCGTATGTGCAAAACACTACTTGGGAATGAAGCTCTTTCTGATTCTGATTCGAGTTTTATGCTGGTTGTGCCCGTTGATGACAGCGTTTCCTCAGCTTATGTTTTTATTGTCTCTTACTTTAAATTTCTGTGTCATTGTTGTCATCGTCTTTTGTTTTTACAACGTGAAGCACTTTGTGTTACATGGCTGAAGTAAAGATTGATCGATTGATTGATTGGTTGTTCTAAATGTACGTTTTGGGTTTGTGACCACTTCATTTCATTTTCATACACATTTACAATTTGAATGACTTCAAACTGACTTTCTGACTGTGTGTAATCTGTGGAAAACCTGTTCTGTTGTCAAACATATCCACTGATTCACGTTTAGAAATGGCTGAGTCAGACTCTGGAGCGGTTATCAGCCGGGTCCACAGATTGCTGATGGATCAAACTGCCCTGATAATGGATCCAGGTGAGCTCTGCTTCCAGTCAAAGGTCTCGTCCTCGGCAGCAGGTCAGCAGATCTCTATCAGAGACCCACAGTTACATATTAAACTGCTGAGGAGCTCCAGGTGTGCAGACAGGCCAGGCCCCCGGCTCAGCTGCAGTCAGTGTGAACGTGACGACGATGAGGATGGAGCTCCTTCTAGTCTTCACAGCGGTGGTCTGCGCCGCCGGGAAGCCGCTGAGCAAGGCGGCAGAGAGGAACAAGCTGCTGCTCATCTCCTTCGATGGCTTCAGGTGGGACTACGACCAGGACGTGGACACGCCGCACCTGGACCAGCTGGTGGAGGACGGAGTCAAAGCCAAATACGTCACCCCCCCAATGCTGACCATGACCTCCCCGTCCCACTTCACCACCATCACCGGTAACACAGCATCATCACCTTTCACACCTGCTGCACTTCTACAATTCAAAGTATTACTGTTCCAGTAATATCAGCAGTACATGTGAAATACACTAACTGGCACTGTCTGTACAGAGAGTACGTTATTAATCCAGAGGGACGTTTCTTTGGAAGCAAATCACAAAAATTTCAATATTTACTTCAGGTTGATGGAAAATATTTCACTGCTACAAATTCAATGTTATTTAAAGGTCAGTGTGAAATACTCAGGAATCAATCTAATATCCATAACTGTGTTTTCAGTGGTGTGGAAAGACCTCACATAATCAACCGTTATGTTTTTATTACCTTACAATGAGTCATTTCTGTCTACATCCACCGCTGCTCCTCTTACATGTTGCACGTAGAAAGATGATCGGTACGTTTGAGTTCATGCTGCGCTGCGCAGCGCTCACTTAACGTGATGCACGCTGGTGTGACAGAAGCCAGCGAGGCTGTGCAGTGAGTAAACTTCACTCCAAAGCAGCCTTATGGTGCTTTCAGACCAAAAGCGAAGTGAGCGTTCAGGGCAGTGAACGCGCCATCACAATTTGCAAAGACACGGGGTCAGCGACGTGAAGGAATTCACGTGAGTTGAATATTTTCAACTCAAGCGAGAAAGTCGCATGACGCTGAGTCGCGATAGCCTATCAGTGTTGAGATTGTCCAAACGTCACCGACGGCTTCAGAGCGTTGTGTGGAGAGCGCCGGGCAGAGCGGGGGATTGAAAATCTGCAGGCCGGCGGAGAGCTGCTAAACTTGGGGAGAGGAGCAGGGAGCAGCGCTGCAACCATTGGACAGAAAAAACCCCGTAGTCGGTCGGATTCTGCGGGAGGAGATCGGAGTTAACTGCTTTTATTAAATTACCTTTTTACTTTAGTTTTTGGGATTTCAACGTTGATTCATCTTCACTGGAGCTTCTCAGCAGCTTCCGTGCACATCCGGCTCCAGTGTTGTTGTTAGCGTCGTTAGCTCTGCCGGACTACGACTTCATATTTACATAAAAACCAGACAAAACTGGATGTTCAGTGGAAAAAAGAGAGAGGAGGTTGAACTACCTGGTGAGTTCAGAAAACATCTGTCTGTAACTTTATTCCAGCTGTCATTGTACTTTACTGTGAACAGGTTAGCGTAGCATAGCCCTGATCGAACCAAACTCCATTCAGAAAACAAACATTTTAAAAGTTGTTGTCCTGTGAATTTTAAGAGAGGCACTGGCGACCGATGCTGGTGCACGTGGGTTTTAGCCTCCTCGTCAGCGGTCGCCTGGTCAGCAGCCGGTTACTCTTGGTTAGAAATTGTGTCGGACTTTCGCCGGCGCTGCAAAACGTCACCATGTCACATGACATTAAAAAGGCGGCTGCAGTTGCTTTTCTCCTGCTGCAGCTCACGCTTGACTATCAAGTCGGCGAAAGTCAGCCGCAGTAATATCGAACGCACCTTAAGAAACAGCACAAGAAGAAACAGAAGAAGCAGCTTCTCCTACACGCGTGGAAAGGGAGGGATGGACTGAAGCGTTGGTTGCAATTCACAATCTCACCACTGGATGCTGCTACACACTGAACCTTTAATGTCAACAGTACGAATTAGTCGGTGTTTAAATTTTATTATTCAGTTGATTCTAAGATTAAATCATTTACTTTATCACTTTATCATTTTCTGTTTATTTAATTGATTCTGTCAATTGAAATCTTGCAGCAACCGAGCTGCATAAAACACAAAAAGAAAAAGAGGAAGGTCAGAAAACAGTAAAAATAAATTGTGAAAAATAACTGAAATAACCATGAGGAAAGTTCCTTTAGTACACTGATGTCGATCTCTGCGCAGTAATTTCATTACTAATCAGGTGATGGTATTTGCTGAACATCATGAAGCGCAACTGTCCTTGGACATTAAACAATAATTAGCATTAGAACATATTTATACTCACAGGTGGAGGTAGATAGTAATAATGATACTAATAAAAGTACAAAGTGCAGTGTTGTATGCTTCTACACCTTTATAATAAGTAGTACACCACCACATTGGACTTGTACTCTACTTGTACTTCATGTTGTTGGCGTTGTTATACACACACACACACGCTAAGCTGGCTGTTCCATCGGCAGATTTACAGTGGTCAGATTATGATAAGAGATCATTTATTATCCTGAAGTGAACGTTTTCTGGAGTCACATGTTGCTGCTTCCAGGAAACACTGAGTGGGAAAAACAACACATTATTTCTCCTCATCATTAATGTAAAGCAGGATTTTACTGCAGTA